TTTATTCTTGAGATCCAAACTGCCCATTTAAAGTCTTATAGTCCTAGCTTGTTGTTGGCAATAATTTTGAATTATCCCTTCGGGATGCAACACAAGCCAAGTGCACCTTTTTGTATAGTGATCCTGTCAGTTGAAAACTTGCCATGCACCTTGTTCCTGCCCAACGACGTCATTCTACAGAATCAAAGAAGTGATCTCTGTAAAAAGGAATGAAAAGTTAATGTTGCCAAACACAGAAGTTATTGACAAAATGGTGTTAAAATTGTGAGAATAATCCATAAAAGCTAACAAAGCAATGTGCTTTCAAAATGTATAAATTTGGGTCGAGTGGGAGCATCTCTGAAATCGAGTCCGATTGGGAGCATTTTCCCATTTTCATAAAAAAAACCTTTAAAAGACTGACTTTTGAATAGAAATATTTGAAAAACTAATAAAGAGAATAATGGTATACATGACTCGGTTTATGTTCCGATACGTTAAAGATAATTTTAAAGAAGGTTTTCAACCTTATTTTCATATATGTTTCCGGGAGAAGTCCGAGTGGGAGCATTTCAGAGAAAAAACACTTATCCCGTTTTCAGCCCTAAACCAGGCAATTAAATCTATAAACTTTTTTTTAACAATTATCTCAAGTACTATAGCCATTCTTTGGTGCGCTACATGATTTTTTAATACTCTTACGTTTTCTTATAATAAAATTGTATTTTACCTTTGAGTCGACGAAAAAATGGTCCAAGTGGGAGCATTTAGCAGGTGCGCGATGACGTAGTATCCTACCATTGTATTAGTTTCCATTGAAATATTGAACATCAAAAATATGTTAGATTTTATAGTCGTCGTGTTATCTATTCATAAACGTGACATGTCATGTTTTCTAGCCATAAACGTAACATGTTACGTCATTATGTAAACAAATTGAATGTGGACCCCACCCCCATTCATCACGGAGAGTCAGAAATACATACAAAGCTACCAAAATTTTTAGTTTCGGGTAAAAACCCAAAAATACTTCTCATTTCCTACACACAAACAAGAAAGAATTACAATGACAGAGAAATATCAGAAGTTATCAGTACCTTCAATTAAAACACCATGTCTGACTTATTAAAAAATTTGGCCGGGACCATCATTCGAATATGTCCCCTGCCCCCTTAATACACTAACGTTACTTCAGTATGAAAGTGAGCGATAGTGGAACATTCGACCGGTGCACTGGAGAGTATACTATCTCTATAGCTTTATATTTTTCTAAAAGAATATGAAAAGCATAATTATGCAAAAAAGCAATCAAACAATAAAAGCAAAATCTCTATAGCTTTATATTTTTTTAACTGTGTTTTAACTTTATTATGCAAAAAAGCAATCAAACAATATTGTTTAAACATTGAACATTTCAACTTGCGGTTTACACTTTATCAAAACAATGAAATAATTAATAACAACACATTGCTGCGTGCACGGCACTTTTATCATTGATTTTAATGCTTCATTGGCACACTTCAATTCCAAGTTAATAAGCACGATCGAGGTTTGAGGTTTTTCCATATACAGATATAAAAGGAAAAAACGTGACCCACAGGACACGGCCCATTTTGAAAACAATCTTGATAGAAATTCATTAGATGGTGTTTCATGTTCTAGCCCATGGGTTTTCAGATAAGAGGATTTTTGTAGATTTTATTATAGAATCTACATGTAATAATATAAGGAAAACCATTATCCCCATGCCAGAGCCACTCTTTTAACAATTTTGATGGATATCTAACAAATAGATGATGTTTTATGCTCCAGCACTTGGGATTTCGGAGAAAAATATTTGTGAAAATTAAGCTATAAACATGTGAAGAAAACCCATGAACCCCCATGAGAGGGCCAAATTTGCAGTAGAGATTTTAATTGATATCATTTACTACATAATAAAGCTAGCTCTGGGCCTTGAACTTTAGAGGAGAATTTTTTGAAATTTGCATTTTAAAACCCCATTTATGGAACAACTTTGAACATTTGAACAACTTTGATAAGAAACCACCAAAGGACAATTCCTGTGTCCTTTTGTTAATAGCCGGTGATGTTGTTTACAGAAACTGTTGACGACGAAAAAGAGCCCGGCGGACGACGACGAATAATAAGGGAACATAATAGCTCATCATGTGCACGTTATGCTCAGCTGAGCTTAAAATCATACAAAGTAGGTCCGTCGTCCGTCTTCGAACAGAAAACTATGGTGGCCGGTGTGGCCATTTCAAACCCGCGATAAAATTTTGCAATTTACAAACTCGCAAGATTTCTGCCGAAACCGTAAAAAATGTTGCACACTAAATGCCGCGTTTCCTCCGTAAAGCTCGACTTTTTACTTTTACGAAAGAAGTTTGACAGAAAAGTCAAGAGATTCTATAAGCCGCGACATTTTATACAATTTCGACATAAAATCTCGCGGGTTCAAAAGTTTCCAGCGACATTTTATAAGCTGACGCTAAAATTTCTCCGGCGCAACCGACCACCATAGCTGCATTACAAATAATTAGAAGTGTTAACAAAATGTTCATCATTTAAAAAATGTCAAGACAAAAAAAAATTATGTTTCATCTGAATGGCCATAGGCTTATTGCGTCCAGTTTTCAAAGTCGAAATATTGCCTGTAATGTTGATTTGTTTTCAATTAATTTTGGTTCAATTCTTAACGTGTGGGTCGGTCATAATTTAACAGGAAGGTGTTAAATTCCAACGTTGAAAATTGATCAATTTTCCGTTGAAGGTCGTCTCCTGGGTCATTTAATACACGATTAAAATGATCATTGAGTATTAACAAAACCAGGATCAACAACAATATTGCCTTCGCATTCCAAATAAGTCATGGGTACAGAATGAAACAAGCGTATGTATTTACGGGCATAAATGTACTTGTAAAGATTTACGTTTACATTTTTGTCTTGTAGCAAAGTAATATAATATACGTGATGTTATCATTAATTCCGACGTGGACTACACTGTACACAAGGAAGAAAAATAACCTCTGTACAACTCAATTAGGACTAATACTATAGATGACGCTCCGGTCAGTTATAACAATTCAAAAGGTTAAGCCTTACAAAATTAATATCGAAATAATGTTCAAACTTTAGGCGTAACGCAGTTGGTAACTTCACTAAGGATGTCTGTTTAATTTTTGGTTTAAAATGCCACGTTCTAGCCTTTTATCTATCTAACAACAAAATATCTAGTTAGTTTGATAAATATCTGAAATTTATCGTATAGAAAGCTAACTAGTTAGTCAGATTAACGCAATAATTATATGGAAATGTGCCACCATAAGAAATAGAGAGAAAAAATCAATATATTTATTTGGTAGACTTACTGAACAAAATAACATAACAATGCTTAAGAAATGTTTTTATTCGAAAAGGAACCAAATCGTCGCTAATTCAAAATTCACGAAGTTAGTGTAAAGTGTAAATATGCTGTATGTTCCCTTGGCAATGACTGTCTCAAATCATTGAAAGCTATAAACCGATGAAGGTATCCCTGTAGAATTCCGTACTGTACTTGCTGCGCGGTTCCCAAAAAGCTCTTATGCGACCTTAAAGCAGGCTAGTAATTATATTTTCGATACGGCTCAAATCGAAACCTTTTGTAGGAAATTGTCTTTCTCTTTACCCTTTGTCGTGTAGCATAGGAATTGAGTGGTTTCAAATTTCAAGTTTATTGGAATGTTAAAGGCGAACAAAGGCATCCGAAAACATATAGCAAACATGATTAATAAAATGACATAAAAAAACAACCAAAGAGAATATCATTTACAGCGTTTGGAAGATGAAAATCTTTAATAAAAATGAGACTAGAAAGTTGCTTAAAACATATCATATTTAGTTTTATAAAAAATTGACAACTTCCTTTAAATTAATTTTTTGTCGCTATGCATAAGTACAGGAATTGGGGTTGTTGTCTAAATATTTCTTTATGATATCGTTAAAGAAGGTACAGTAAGAGATAATGAAATTCATCACTTAAAAAGTTATTTTACACGTGAAATTATATGTGTTCTCTTGCAGTATTATAAAATATTCCTTTTTCAAATAGGTAAGGTATTATTCAAACACATAAACTAACATAAAGAAATAGCAATATTAAAAAGTAACAGTTTTAAATATTCTAAAACAAAACACCAACAAATTCTTGTTTATACATTCTATGATTAAAAAATGCGTTTACAAGAATTGCTAATCGTACTGGACTTGTTCAGCTAAACTGGTCAATACACGTACTTAGCGTTTACAATACATTTAAGCCAGTTTCCTGTTCTAACAAAAAATGGCAAACCCAGTTTATTCAGAAAGTCTATAAATCTTGGATAAATTCTGAATACATGACTACAAATACATTTAAAGGTCTACTAGGTGTTGGTTGCCGTATTGGTATACAGTTTATACACGTATAAACAGGCAAAATTTCTTTCCAAAGGGGAATCATTATTTTTTTACTCATTTTTTTTTTTATTTTATTTATTTATTTATTTATTCTTTTTTATTTGAAGCATCATCTGTAGAGTTGTTTCTGTACGTTTGAATTGCTTGTAAATGTAAATTAATATAACAAAATGGTTGCACAGATACTCTTAATCTTCATATATTATGTTAAGTTTATTACTGTAAACTTAAATGTAACATTAACACTTTATCATGCATGATTAACTTTGTTTCGCAATTATACCAGCTTTCAAGACAAGCTATTCAACTTTGATTTTGAGAAAATTTATTTTCGTTTATCAAAATCAGTTTTTGTTTGTGAAAATCAGCCATAGAATAACGAAAATAAGCTTTGTTTACTGTTAACCACGATACATTGTAAGAAGATACATGTACTTGCAATGAAACACACTGTTTGCCTTACCATGCAAAAGCGATTGTCAAAAGCATAGCCAAACCAATGAGACAAATGAATAGATACAGTATCAAATGTTGAAAAATGCAGGAATCTTCGGGCTTATATATTTTCACCAATTGTCAAAGAATATTGAAGACATGGAATGTCGTACTTAAGTGAGAATGAGTGTTTCACTATCGTAGCATCACAACCGGTAAAATAAAAAGTCAAGATTTTTCCAAACGGAGCACCGCACTTCTCACAGTTTCTTTTAAGAAAGTAAGTGCTAATTTCTGACGTCATTCAATACGGATGAAGAAAGCAAATTGTTGAATCTGAAGATAGAACATCGCAGGACTAGAGAATGGATAACGGGTAAGTTGATATTTCATTTGTATCAATTTCCAAGGAATATAAAAATGAAAAGTTACTTCTAGATAACTTTGCGATACATTTTTATGTTTCATGTTTGAAATGAGATTTCCTTAATTAATATTTTATTTTGTATTATTTGGGATAGGTCAATTTTGAAGAGGCACAGCGTGGCTGTTTCACAATGTATACGAGGCCCGGTTTGTACGACGGTCATGGTTATGGGGCTGAAAAATGTCGGGAAATCGACCGTTATTCAACAACTTCAGAAATTAAGTTCAGGATCTTTTGATGACCGCAGGAGGAAAAGCGAGAGCTTTGTAGATTTCAAAGGACAACTTCAGTTTTCTGAGGCTACCCAATTTCCATTTAAAGGTTTGAGGAAGATGGCCATTAAAGCATCCGAGTCATTCATACTGGTATATTCTGTCGATGACGAAGAATCCTTCGACTATGTTACAAAACTGCTAAGCGAAATTATCGCAATAAAAGGTAACACTATTTATCTGTTTCTGGGTGTTTTTTCGTTGACATTTTATTACAACATACACCTTCAAACGGTAAAAAGCTTTATATAAAATGAAATGTAATATTTGTATATTGTTTATATAAGGTAAATGTGGTTTGCTTCACACTGGTTGGTTGTAACATAACATGCAACGTAGAATGTCTCTGTTATTCAATATAAATTAATATTATACGTTAACAGAATATTTTATGTCGGCTTTTAACCGCTCGGCAATTTGATTTCGTTCATACGCCTTTATTTATTTTTCAGCATTCAAACAATAGTTTTGTAAATTGTTTACACATTATATAACAAAGTATGCACATAACATGATAAAGTAGGTACATAATAAAAAAGCACATAATATAATCAAATATAGTAAAGTAGGCATAAACTATTTTAACGAATGCATACAATTTCACTTTGCATACAAACATCGCCGACAATGCGGAATCAACTTAAACAGACCAGTTGTAAACAATAAAACATCAATGTATCGTAATTATATCACTGATCACACTGTACATATCATGTGACAATAGTGCAGAGCATTTTCTAAAACCATGACAAAATACAAACCTACAATCTTATTTTAAAGATGTGAAGAGAAGGGTTAACGGTTTGCATTTGTATCTTATTACAGGAGAAAATGTCCCTCTTGTTGTAGTGGCTAACAAGATTGACAAGTCTCCGAGAGATGTGCATCCCATCATTGCTGATTGCGTGGTCACTATTGATTTTGAATGTAAACATAAAGAGGTGTGCGCCGCAACAGGGGATGGGATGAAAGAAGCACTTTCATGTCTACTCAGTTTCTTTAGTGACGGATCTCAAGTTGCTGATGAAAGCACCCACAAAAGTTCACTGAAGAAGAGGTTTTCCTTCCTCTTTCGGAAGTAGGTTGAACTAAAGGAAAACTATTTCCCAGCAATAAAATTTAACTTTGATTAAATAACAAGAGTTTAAAAAAAATCTGTATTAATTTCTGAGGTAACAGGTACACATTTTTTCTTTAGGTACACAAATTTAGAACTCACGTGCATAAATTTAAAAGAATTGAAGAAAATATTCAGTAGCAATTACAAAACTGGGACAAATTTCTAATTTCCAACAGCAAATAGGACAGAAAAATATTTCCATGTCAGGAAAAGATATAACAGGAAAGCAATTTTGGTTGAAATTTGTTTTATCCATATATAAACGTTTGTTATTCGCTCTGTCACAGTATCGTTTTGTGTATCGTAGGTGATATGTACTTCAAAATCTGCCGCTAATAAAAGATAATTTTACACGTTAGACCCAAAATTCCTTTAAATTTAACTTGAAATATGTGACCAAGATGTCGGAGATATACACAGGTAAAAAAAGATTCACAGATATATTCATACAAATTGGTTTACATAATTAAGAGAATCATCAATTTAAAGAAGTTTTGTACATATTTTTTTAAATTTTGGTTGTCACTGCTGAAAATTGAAGAGTTTAGATAAACTTTTAATAAACTTTATCACGTTTCAGTGAATAACTTCGCATATATATTAAGGTAGAAATTGGTAGATGGCATAAATCGTAATGAAAAAATGTTATATTTTAGCTAAATAAGATGATGAATTTCATGTATTATCGGAATGTCAACTGGGGAAGAAACAAATATGCCGAAATTTACTATAGTGTGAAAATGATATAAGAAAATTATCAAATACTTTAATTAAAACTCATATTTTACATTTAATGGATATACGGAAACTGGTATATGTTTGTGCTTTTTATACCATGTTGTACCAATGTTATTTTTTGTTCCTTCGGTTTCCATTACATGTTAGGGATTTACAAATGCATTGTGTAGTATATTCACAATGACAAAGTGTTTCTATATATGTATGTATATTAATTGACACATTTCCCACATGTATTCTGTGAATAAATGTATAGTTCTATATTGTGAGTGATAAAATATATGTATTACTGTTCTCTTTTCTTAACACCGAGATCATTTTATAAAATATATTTAAAAAAAAAAGAAAACCTTAGTTACTTGCTACTATCATAACGTGTGTATTTTTTCTAAACTCATTAGAATATATTTTGAAAGAGTAAAGTGCAAAATTATTCAACCAGTTTCGCTGCAAAGAGTGTGCAGGAGAGAGTTTTGAAGAAAAAAATGTGTTTTAAATATCAAAGTCATTTTCAATGTAACGTTAATATGATAGGGCATACGCCTGTAGAACCATGCGCACCCTTGCAGCACAAGGGGAAAAGAATGAATAAATGTCCCTGTATTTATTCTTTATCCCAAGGTAGTAGTTATAACAAATGTAATGATTATGTTATAAAGTTCGATAGGAAAAATAATTTTGATTAGACATTTAACAAATGTACCAAGCTGTTGACGCAAGTCGAAGAGTTTTGCACTTGATTCTCTCAAATACATTCTAATGAATAGAAAAAAAATACACACACATTAATATTTGCAATGCCAAACTATATTTTCATTATATTAAAAAAAGGTTTACATAAATTATATAAATTACATAAAATAAATTACATAAAATAATACGACCTATCTTGATTTTCCCAACTCTTTTGCACAATAGCACGCACTACCGATTTGTTGCAAAGCACCAATGTGATCCAGGTGTGCGATGTACTTTTAAAAATAAGTGATCAAAATCGGCAACCTTTTGTATGAAGAATTTCACCAAAACGGCCTTTTTCGTTTTATTGGCAATTAGTGTACGCGTCTTCATAATGGACAGTGATTTAGTAACGAGTTTACAGAGGCCTTAAAACACGAAGATCAAGTACTTTTGGTAAACTCTTCTTTTATTTGTTTAGTTTCCTTCGAACAATTAATTCTGATTTTCTAAGCATAATGTTTCCAACTTATGCTGTTAGAAAAGTCTCATTGTGCCTGTCTAAAAATACGGTTCATACACTCACTTTTAACGAATTTATGTTAAAAATCGACTGTTTATATAGAAAAAATGTTTGATTTAGGAACTCTAGAGATAGTCAGAATTCATAGCGAGTTTTTTTTTACAAATATGAATACATACAGAATTTTATTTAAATTATTATAAACATAATTTGTGTACGTGTAGTTATTACAAAGATTGTTTTACGTTGTAATAAAAATATCTTACAAGCATTGTATTTTTCCTACTGACTCAAGTCCTTCTCTTAGCCACTTGAATACCACAGACAACAAAGATAGGTCTATAATACTGGTATACATCTAACCCAGTCTGTAGTTTACCAGTCTGTACATCTGTGCAGCCTACCTTCTTTGTAATTGAATATACCTAATACTAAGGAGCAAACACCGTTAACAAAATGTAAATGTCTTTATTAAGTCCAGGTCCTTAGTTTATACAACTTATGTGAAGGGCAAAAAAGAATAGCAGGATCATAATACTGTCAAATTCCAAGCTACAGTTATGGGCCATGAACAGAGACCTTTTGCTCTCAAATAAGTGCATGAAGTTTAAACCCATTCTCTTCAGTAGTTTAGGAGATACCAACTTGCACACAAAAACTTAACCAAAGTTTGACGCCGACACCATTGCCTAAGTGAGAAGAGTAGCTGTATTTTTCGAACTGTCGAGCTAAAAATCAACTATTGGAATTTCAATTGCCATATAAGGATATAAAACAAAGTAAAATTAAAAAACTCCCGACAGTGAACATTAGTCATTTACACAGTAATATGTATGATATATACACATTATCTTTCAAGGCATAGCGGCATATCCAGAATGCCAAAAAATAATTACACCTCCAAAATTTGAATAATCTTTGGGCGAATAAAAACCAAACATATAAATCACTGTAAATGATTAGGTCATGACAAGGCCTCTCAAAAGGTAGAGCTAAAAAGATTGTATGTACTAGGTATCCTAGGAGCTAAAAAGATTGTATGTACTAGGTATCCTAGGGACTCCTGATGATAAAATTACTTTATCTTGGTCAAGAACATCTTCAAAAATAAAAAATATGTATCTTTAGTTTAATCCATTTATTTAAACAACTTTTTACATGTTATTATACAATTATATTACAGGAAAGATGTAAACATTTTTTTTATTTTTTCTTTCCTTGCTTTGCAAGCTTCTCTTTCCTTTTCTTTACATGCTTTGGCATCTTATTTTGTCTTTTTTCTTTTTGTGCCTCTTTCACCAGTCGTTTCCTTTCCTGAAATATACCAATATTTTACATTTACCATACTAATTTTAAAAGCTTAAATGGACTTGTCCAGTTTTTTATTTGGACAAGACCATTCATCTTGTTTAGAGAAAAAAATCAAAATATGAACTGAACAGTGCAGACCCTGATCAGACGGCATGGAAATGTCAGCTGATCTTGGTTTGCACTGTTTGCATGGGTCGAATAAATTGCCTCCAACAGGCTAAGAGTTACAGTTAACTCCTTTTTAAGGCGAAGGATCATCTTCAGAGATATTTCAGGATCTCTTCACTTGAGGGTCAACATAACCGTTATCTCGTACATGTTCTGTCGTTATGAAGAAATATGTGTGAAGTTGGTAAGAATTCTTTGAATCATGCTAATAAATAAAACCCTCATAAAAATATAGCTTTTATAGAAGTTAGCAAGTCTTGCAATATATCCATCAATCCATCACAAAAAAAGAAAAACAACTAACTATTGACAAAGTTGCTGTCACTGACCAAAGCTTGAATGCATAAATGGTTTTCTTTTCCACCCATTTCTCATTTCCATTAACTTAATGCTAAAAGGAAATCACCACAACAAACTGTTACCTTCTTTGAATTTGGAGATTCGTCTCTGGGTCGTGTTATGGTGCCTTTACAGTTTTCCTCATCATCAGTTGAATCAGAATCATCACTTTCATTCCCACAATCACTCCCTTCATTGTCATTTATTTCCTCTTCTGTGTGTTCACACACACCAGATGTTAGTTCAATATCGTTATTCTGCTCTTGTTTTGAGTCTTCAAGTAAAGTTGGCACCTGTGGGCATAAAATTATTATCATTTGGTTTTTTAAAGATTTTTGACAGGTTATATGGCCCAATTACTGGACAGTGTCTCAAAAAGAAACATGTCATGTGATACAGAAGCTTTTATTCTGATAAACTGTTAATTTCATTCAGTTGTTTATTCATTTTTAGTGACTTTATTGGTTTTTTATAGATGGCAACTTTCAGTTGAACTTTGGAAAGAATGACCATTCTTAAATAATTATAGACACAAACAAGTCCATGGAGATAAACAAAAGATTGCAATCACATTAATTGTTAGTCAAATTTGATTATTCAACTTTTGTCTGAAAAAAAAACCTGGACTGATTTTGAAATGTTTAATAAATTAAAGTACAATAGTTTTACTCACATGTTGGGGTCCTGACAAATCTGTTTTTAATCCTGATATCTTACTGTACAGAAACTGAAATTGTAAGATATAACTAAAAAAATATGTACAATTTGTTAACATTTACATACAGGTTAATATGTTATCATCTACAGTACTGATGCTATAGACACATTTAAAAATCTACCTAACAAAATATAATATTCTGACTGAGGACAATTTTGTTACATTTTGTCAAATTACATTTAAAGGTCCAAAACAAAGCACATTAGGACTTGTAAAGTCTTTTTAAGGCCAGAATAAATTTAAAATCTTTTCATAGTCCTCAAACTGGGCTAACACGTCACTTTCCCTTATTCCTAAAATCAAACACATCAGAGGAAGAATATTGTAGTGAGAATACTCATAGAAAACCTATTTTTTCTTCAAACATAATTCAATAAAATAAACATACAATAAAACCTTTATATAACAGTGGAAACAATCATAAATTTTAACCTTTATGCTTTTTTGAATTGAAAAATTTCAATAACTTTACCTTATGTTCAAGGTTCAATCTTAAGGCAAGGTCTTTATCAGATTAATTCAACATGTCTGTTTTGTCATATGTGTTGTTCTGTCCCAGTTTATATCAAAACTGTAATAGAATGATTAAATTATGGCACAAGCAGGTACCAGACTAGAACTGACATTCTGTAAGCTAACTAGATTGCTTCCTCTCATGAAAGAATACAGTGGGGCAAAAGTTTAGAAGTCAATAACCTTTACCACTTGGCCAAGGATGCCTTCAAAACAAGCAAATTGACACTTCTTTAGATCAACAATAAAAAATAGCACACTAATGAAATTCAGGTAGGTAAAGGTAAACATGATATTGAAACTTTTACCTCATTAGTGTCCCCTTTCTTTGTCTTTGTAAAATCGCCTCTCAAATCTTATTAACAGGCATTCCAGTGTTCTTAGGATTGTATGCCATTCTTAAATACCTGAAACAACAAAAAATGTATAGTTGAATAGGTCAAGTGTTAGTCAAAAGGACTGTAACCAGCAATATCTGGATTACTAATGGCATGCTTACCCTATTTGAGCCAAGTGGGTATACATTATTTAGAGAATTGGGTCAAATTTCCTTTACAAATAAAGATGGAGCAAAAAAAATCAAATGAATTCTTGTGGTTTGCCTTAAACTTATTCATTAAAGCTTGATCGCGAAACAATTTCTTTGGAACTTGTATAAATTACTTTCGAGTCCGCTTCCTGGAACCAACTCAGAACTGGTGTCATATGAAGAAATATGGTCCTGAGCTGATTAGGGGTTGAACCCATGATCCCTGGGTTGAGAGACAGTCACCTTAACCACTAGGCCACCCGCTCCCCATATTTATATAATAATTTATAAATAACATTACAAAACAATGTATAAATAATTAACCTGTTCGTCAATTTTGTTCTTGTTCAGTGACATCATCTATGGTTCTATTAGACGTTATCATCATACATTTGTCCAAGTAGTCATCTAAGTTATCATCTGTTATTGAAATATCGGTCACAAAATCAAATAATTCTTTTACTGTTAATGTGCTCACACCCTTTTTCTTAAAGTATTCTGAAATAGAAAAGTCAAGTAATATAAATAACAATATATTATAAGTATCATTAAACTTTATCATATCCCCAACATAGCTTGATGTGAAATATTTAAAAACACCAATGTCTCCAAAAGTGTAAATGGAGTATAACTGATGACTGACCATGAGCTCAGTTTATAATTGTCATTTAATGCTAAAATGACGGTCTCAAATACAATTTGGGCTGTTTCAAAACTTAAACCGATAGTTGATAAAGGTCAATTGACTTTACTTTTTTTTCCCTTTTGTTCACCGATTTTTGTACTTGTTCCACTCAGATTTGATAAATTTAACTTCATATAATTTCAGAGTTGGATCTCTTTTATCATCATTGTGGAACAAAACATTTATTTTCAATAAAATCTCAATATACATGTACTTGTATGTTATCCATTTTTATCATCACGCTTACTTCATTTGTTGCTGTTTAATAAATTCAATATTTCACAATATCTCAGTCAAATTCTGATAAGCACCTTACATACAAGGTCAAGCTGTTATCCAAATACTGGGCCAGTACACGTTGAAATTATGCCTGAATCAGGATTAGTAAAATGCTGGCATGTATGCTTATCAATCATGTTAGTGGTATTTAATGGTATTTACTGCCATTTTTGGTGTTAATGACATCTATGAAACTTTGAAACTGGGCCCTGAATCCTGGGTATTTCCACTAGGTAACTTACAATATTTCCCTATAAATAATGTCAGTCACCGTACATGAATGAATAATACAAATTGGAATGGATCAATAGGACATGGATGCTAACATATTCCACTGTTATCTGTTAGTCTATGGACATGAACAAAATCTATAATTATGCCCTCTATCCACCCCTTTGATAGTGGGGGCATAAAAATTTCTTACCTGTAACATTAATACAATCTTTACGTAAGAATTCCAAGGCATGTGGATGATCATGTTCAACTGACTGTGATACATCTATAACATACAAATTTCCTTCATGATACCTGAAACAAATACCGAACATTAAAATCTTTAGAGAAATCAAATCTAAAGCATTTGTGGGGCATAATGAATTAAAAATTAATGTGGCATAAGTGTAATAATCTAAAATTCTATCTTTAGGAAGTGTGAAACCATATCTTACGATTAGTACTGGAGGAAATATGTGCTTATCAGTTTGTCTTTTGTGTTGTTTGATATTCTAATATGCTATTTATTATTCTATTCTGATATATATGTAGTTTGTATGCAAACATACTTATTAGTATGACTCTTTTCTTATATGAATTAAGAATAATATGACAACATATTTATTGGAACAACATATTTTATCTTGATTTGTATTATTAGTTTTATTTGAATCTGTCAATATATTATTATATACATTTTTATTTTGTTAACATATTAATTATTTATGCCATTTTTTTTTTGGTATTAAAACATTACTTATTTTTGAGTATCTTATCAATTATCAAAATTAGCTCTTTAAAATCAATGCGATGCACCTTTGATTAACACATCATATCAACACCAGTTATGTAATTTAGTTGCTTAAGGGGAAAAGCTAGAACATTATTTATCACTTTTTTTTGTTACATAACTCAATATTAAACAATTATTGACTAGTGAACCATTGAATATGATGTGATATTCACCGGCAGATGACATATTGACCGAGGCGATAGCCGAGGTCAATATGACTTTCTGCCGGTAAATATCACATCATATTCAATGGTTCACTAGTCAATAATTGTTTTATTATATGAATAGGCTAAGAAATAAAAAAAATCACAAAAGTACAATTTTATATACATGTACAAATTTTGCTTCGTTGAAGCGCGGAAAAAAGACGCACGTGTTAGGCGTGCAACGACTACGCGAACGCTGCGCATACAAAAATAATTCAAGTTTATACTCATCATTGCGGTGTTACCTTTAAGTATAATAGTAAAGTATTGATATTTGAATCGAGAAATATGCCATAAAGAACAAAAAGCAACAATTATTTTTTTATTAACACGCGTAATCAACAGCCTACGGGGTATGATCATTGAATATGAGTCTCAATCTATTTTTAGACTGGGAAAATCCAATTCAGCCAGTGAATATGATACTACACCCAGTAAATATGATTTTATAAAAAGTTCTGTTGACTACTGTTTGGACCAATGAGCTTGCAGCTATATTTAGATCATATAATAATACAATTTACTGTTAAACAGCTTTTGCAGTTACTGAAAAATTCCATGCAAAAAATGTCTGTATTCTAACATGCATGTTTACCAGACAGTGAAAGAGAGTGTAGATCATTGAAAGATCATTGCACATCCAAAATTGATAAAATTAAGAACTACTTATAAACCACTATTGTGCTTACACATATATGCCAAAAATTGAAAAATCAACAATGTTTTTGTATATATACATGTATTATATAAACCTACAATGACAGAAAATAAGAGTGCAGAATTTTTTGAACATTTGCTTATACAACATAAACAAGAATCTGATGAGTTATTAGTACAAACATTTTGTTCTTAAATTCATTTACTTGAAAATAAGGGAAAGTACAGGTTTAACTAGTTTTATTCCTAATAACATGTACATGTGAGATTGATATAAAATTCATATCAGTTTCAAAGTGCAGTTTGTTTTTCTATGTGCATATACTTACATTTGTATATAAATTGAGAATGTGCATGCATATCTACTTGTATATGCTATCTGATGTAAGTATAGAGTGCATACCGTTTTTATTCATATATATCTATCAATATTGTGGATGTATGCAAGAGAACTTTTAACTTAGTCAATCTCAGGTATATAAATCTACCTTCAACAAGAACCGATTGAACCGGGTGATGCTCCCCGAGAAGGTTCTGGACACAGGAAAGTATAAAAAAAATGAACAAAGGGCAAAAACTCCAAACAGGCAAGGCAGAGGTATGTTTTTTTGCACTGCACTTCTATTCAATGAGATCTATCTATCTATAAAGTTTCCTGATGATATCAGAATTATGTCTCGGGTAAAATTCAACGTGTAAAAATGAACAAAGGGCAATAACTCCAAAATAAGACCAGGCTTTGTTTAGGTTCTTTAAGCATTGAAGTTCTATCCAATTATATCTAGCTACCTACAAAGTTTCATGTTGATATCTCTAATAGTTTTAAAGTTATGTCACGGACAAAAGTCAAAAAGTAAAAATAAACAAAGGGCAATAACTTCAAATTAGGCAAGGCAGAGTAATGATTCTTAAGCACTGCACTTCCATCCAATGAGACCTATCTATCTACAAAGTTTCATGTTGATATCTCCTATAATTTTAGAGTAATGTCCCGGACAAAGTTCAAAGTGTCAAAATGAACAAAGGGCAATAACTCCAAAAGTAGGCAAGACAGTGTTACAGTTCTTGTGCACTGCAAACCTACTTAATGAGATCTATCTACCTACAAAGTTTCATGTTGATATCTATTATAGTTTTACAGTTATGTCCTGGACAAAGTTCAAAGTGTGAAAATAAACAAAGGGGGATAATTCAAAAATTAGGCAAGGCAGAGTTACGGTTCTTGTCAACTGCACACTTACTCAATGAGATCTATCTACCTACAAAATTTCATGTTGATACCTCTTATAGTTTTACAGTTATGTCCTGGACAAAGTTCAAAGTGTAAAAATAAACAAAGGGGAATAATTCAAAAATTAGGCAAGGCAGAGTTACTGTTCTTGTGCACTGCACACCTACTCAATGAGATCTTTCTACCTACAAAATTTCATGTTGATACCTATTATAGTTTTAGAGTTATGTCCCGGACAAAGTTCAAAGTGTAAAATAAACAAAGGGGGATACTTAAAAAATTAGGCAAGGCAGAGTTACGGTTCTTGTTCACTGCACACCTACTCAATGAGATCTATCTACCTACAAAGTTTCATGTTGATACCTATTATAGTTTTAGAGTTATGTCCCGGACAAAGTTCAAAGTGTAAAATAAACAAAGGGGGATACTTAAAAAATTAGGCAAGGCAGAGTTACGATTCTTGTTCACTGCACACCTACTCAATGAGATCTATCTACCTACAAAGTTTCATGTTGATACCTATTATAGTTTTAGAGTTATGTCCCGGACAAAGTTCAGTGTAAAACTAGAACTGCCACTATCATGGCGTGAATACCCCCGCATACCACTTTGTCAGAATCAACAGTGGCCATTTAGAGCTCAAGGACAACCTCCCTGCCAAATCTGAGGTTACTAAGCCAGTGCATTGCTAAGTTATGTATTCTACATGCTTCAAATGTGAAAATGTCAAAATCAATACATTGTGGACAGGACATTCTTTAGCAATTGAGAAGAAAAGCTTTTTTTGTCAAGGTCCCTGTGACCTTGACCTTTGACCCAGTGACCTCAAAATCAATAGGGGTCACCTTATAGTCATGATCAACATCCATGACAAATATGAAGACTGTGGGTCAAAGGAATCTTAAGTTAATGGGTGGACAAACTTTTTGAAGTCAAAGTCCCTATGACCTTGACCTTTGATCCAGTGACCTCAAAATCAAAAGGGGTCATCTACTAATCATGATCAACATCCATGCCAAATATGAAGACTGTGGGTCAAAGGAATCTAAAGTTATTGGGCAGACAAACTTTTTGAAGTCAAAGTCCCTGTGACCTTGACCTTTGACCTGGTGACCTCAAAGTCAATAGGGGTCATCTACTAATCATGACTAACCTCCATGCCAAATATGAAGACTGTGGGTCAAAGGAATCTTAAGTTATTGGGCAG